ACGCGCTCACGCGCTTCCATCCCGAAGTACGCAAAGCCGACCGCAGCGCCATCTCCAAGGAGGTCACTTCCATGACCATGCGCAGCATTGCCCGCCTGGCGCGGTACCAAGATGCCAATCTCGCCCGCCGTCTCATCGACAAGTCGACGCTCGGCGCGAAGTCCCTCCAGATGAACGCGACCCTCGCATCCCCGCGCTGCTATTCAGCCATTGCGTTGATGGATCCTGCTGTCTTCGCGACTGACGCCGCCGCCACCCACGTCGCGGCCTCCGACGAGCGCCGAGCCCGGGCCGCCGCCGCTGCATGCCAAGCCTTTCAAGAACAACAGCAACAACGAGGCCACAGGTGGCGGAAACGAGTCAACACTAAGCGCAGGAAAGGGGAGTTGCGGAAGCCAGTTTCCAAACGCCTGGTCCTTGCTGGCATCCGAGTGCCCCGTGGCGACTCCTGCTCGTTGCGCAAGGAACCCATGGACATGCACTCCGCCATCCAAGCCCACTGGATGCCGATCTTCACCGACAAGCCCGTCGACACCAACGCCATGAATTCGCACATCGACACGGTATTTCCCTACAAGCCGCTCTTCGACGCCGCGATCCCCGACGAGCGCGACCTCTTCCAGGCGGCGAAGAACGCGTCGGACTCCGCCCCTGGACCCGATGGCCGCCCTTACCGCGCCTGGCTCGTCACCCCCAACAGCTTCTCCATCCTCGCCGAACTCGCCGCCCACCTCGGCGACGGCCTCGCCATTCCGCAAACGCTGAACCACGCCATGATGGCCATGCTGCCGAAAGGAGATGCACCCGCTGGGCAATCTGAGTGCAATCGCGAACCTAGACAGCAGCTCCCTCGCGCCATGAAGAACACCGGCGTGAAGATCATCTCCTCCGCCACGAACAGAAAGCTCAATCCGCCGATGAAAAAGATCTCGCCTATCCAACGCGGGTTTGCTCCTGGACGCCAGTTTCTGGACAACATCGTCGAAGCCGACACGTACAGCCGCAAGTGCAGCACCCAGCCTGATGCTCAAGCTCTTCAGCCGTGCTTCCTGAGCATGGACATCGCCGCCGCCTTCCCGAGCCCCTTGCACGCTTGGACGTGGAACGCCTTGCAGCGCTGGGGCATGCACGGCCGCCGCCTTGCCCTGATGCAGGCGTTCTACCACGTGCCGATCGCGCTGCTCGAGATGGGAGGGACGCGCCGACCGCTCTTTCTCGCATCCAGCGGGGTCGCTCAAGGTTGCCCCCTCGGCGGCGCCATCTGGGACCTGATCTTCGACCCCGCGCTGATCGGCATCAATGACTTCTTCAAACGCACCCATAGGGGCACAGCCACGGCATGCGCTGATGATCTTGGCTGCGTTTCCGCCTGTCTTCGCGACATCGAAGGATTACGCCCTCACTTGCTTGCGATTGCTCAATATGCTGGCTTGCATCTTCAAACGCGCAAATGCGTCCTGGTACCCGTCTGGACGATTGCCTCCTCCAACCTGATCGACAGCCCCCAGGACACTCTGGGTCACATCCACCCCGACTGGGCCCTCTTCAACATCGACTCCTCTGCCAAGTACCTCGGCGTGTTCACGTGCCCGGGAACTGACGAACGTGCTCAATGGGCTGCCCCTGCCGCCAAGCGGCTACACCGCGCCCATATCCTCGGAGAGTCTCACGCCCCGAGTCAACAGAACATCACATTGTACAACTCCTCTGCGCTGACGACGCTCTCCTTCGTTGGCCAACTCTTCCCTGCTCCTGAATTGATACTCAATCGCTAGATCCGCGCCCTCCACAAGATAATCCGCTCGCCGCCCTCGGCCTTCACCAAGCTGGACATCCTGGACTGGGCTGGCGCTGGCATCCCCACGGGCGTCGAGGTGCTGTTGAATGCGACGCTGTGGAGGTCTGCTACCTCTACCACCAAGGTTTGGCCCCCGCTGTTTGACATGGTCAACGAGAATGCCACGGCGAACCTCACCATGGTATCGACGGTGAAGGGTCACTGGTCTGCCGAACGTTTTGCCTCGCCCATTTCGATCGCCCAGCTCTTCCAAGCTGCGAAGAACGGCGCCGCCTTCCCGACGGGCAAGGGCTCCATTAGCATGGCACTGAAAAGAATGAAGAACGCAGATCACGCGCACCAGCAGCTTCTGCTTGCTAACCGCCGTGCTGCCGCGGCGGTGGTTCTGCCGCCGCCGCGTGCTCGCCGCCCTCCAGGCTCACCAATGCGAGGGCAACTTCGACATCACCATCGTGAAGCGCCTGAAGGCCTGGTTCCCGTTCATCCCCATGGCCACCGCCGAGCAAGATCCTACAATGGGGGGTGAACATCAATTGATCCGCCCTGCTACTCGCGCGATGCTGAACTCTACGCTCTCGGTGCCTCATCAGGCGGCGCCACTGCCCACTGCCCTCCCGCCTGCCCCTAGACTAGATGAAAACCAAGATGATCACGCTGCTGCCGCTCGCGTGCTTCATAATATTGCCGAAGTGCTTGCCCATTGGGCCTCGGACTGGCCCCCCGACCTGCGCATCGCCAACTGGGGCCACACGCTGCGCCGAGACATCGACTGGATGAACTGGCGCGAACAACATGTACTCCGACATCTTCGCCGATGGAGCATGCGCATCCCATGCGCCGCCCCCTCGGAAGACGACCTCCGCCGCCGGGAAGGTTGCCGGGAATCGACGGGCGAAGTCCGAATCCCGCCCTCGCCGATCAACGGTTGAGGCAACTCGACGGGCGGCGGGGGTAGGCTTGGGAATTCGGCGAACACGTAGCCGAAATTCGAGCCCTACCCCCGCGCCCCATCGATCCAAGAGAATCGACTGCTGGTGGCGTCCGGTTGTCACCACCTACAGGTGTTGCAGGCGATGTGACCAGAACGCGTGAGACTCGGGTGCGCTGGAACTCGGGCCTGCCGCGCGTGTTCAACGAGCGCGTCCTGGACCTTGACGATCCAGTCTTCGTGGAATAACCTCATGCCCGTGAGAATAAACACTAGGGGATAATAAAGTTCGGGGTTCAGGGAGAGATAATAAAAGTAGCCCAGCAGACCTCAGCATAATCTCGAAGTAAGAGATGATCAAGAGGAGACCAAGCCGAGCACGTTTTGAGACATCCTTGGCGTTTAGTTTTCATAGAAATATCCTCAACAATGGCTTATCTCTCATGAAAATTGTTTTTTGTAAGTGCTCGTGTAGGGTAGCTCATGTGCCTCAATTTCCATGGATAATCAACCCCAGAGATAAAAACGTTCAGGCGGGCGTGGGGACAGAGAGAAATATAAAAGAAGAAGAATACAGTAGAATAATAATAAGAAAGAAGAATAAGAGGAGAATAATAAGAGGACGAAGAAAGGAAAAATCCAAAGTTCCAAATCTATCAATTTTAATTCACAAGCGCTTTATGAAAATTGATGTTTTAAGTGCTCGTGTAGGGTAGCTCATGTGCTTAATTTTCCATGGATAATCAACCCCAGGGATAAAAAAGTTTAGGCGAGCGTGAGGACAGATAGAAATATAAAAGAAGAAGAGGAAATAATAATAATAAGAACATTGCTTGTTTTGTTTGAGTCTGCCTCCCAAAATCCCAAAATTATTGGTTTCGCTTGACACATCCTGAAAAAGTGTGATCGCTTCGCTTGATGTTGCTATATCAACATCGCTTGATGTTGCTATCTCAACATAGCGTTTCGAGGTGATAATGAAGTTCGGCCTCAGCGCTCGCCGCCCAATTTGAATTTTGTATAGGGCGACGATAATCAACTCTAAACACTGAAGGGGGGGGGTCCCTTCATTATCATCGGCATGCGGTTACTTGCAGCGGGAGCTCGCGTCGAAACTCAGATTGGGTCTCGTCGTTTTCCTGGCGGCTCCTGCGTTGTGAGCGCCGGGATTTCCCCTCTGAGTACCTGCGAGTGATCTCACTGCTTGGGGCGTTTGGGCCCGCGGAGGTTCTCGTGTTCTTGGAGGATGATCTTCTGTCCCAGGTCCGACCGTACGGCACGCACCAGTTGTTCAAGTCGTCCTCCAAGTCCGACGCCTCTCCGAGGCCAGCGTCCTGGATCCATCTCTTGGCCCAGCAGGACACCGTCGTCTCGAAGATTGGGGCATGGCTCCTGCCGACGGGCTTGCCTGGCATGTGTGGTACTTGTGTTTGACCTCGTGAGCCAGGGACAGGCGCACCAGGTAGACCGCCACCTCTTAGGTCTGGCGGCCGGGGTTGCTGCGAGCGGTCGCCCAGCCACCGCCTGCGCTCGTCCATCTCGATGGCACGCGTCCCCGATTCGTCGATGAGGCCACTTGGGTCTGTGCGCTCGAGCTTGCGGGAGACAATTATGAGGCTGCGCCGCGCTCCCAGTCCCGTTCTCCACGCCTCGTCGCAGACTCCCTTCCTCGAGCAGGGTGTCGAAGGCCGCCGTGCGCATGACTGCCACCCCCGCGCTTCGCTGGCTGCCTCCGCGATGTTTGCAGGATCGGCCGGCCTGAACTCCTCGCACTCGTCACTGCTCTGGATATAGGCGGCCTTCACCTGGCCGCTGGAGCATGCCACGCTGCCAGCTCCCCCCTGGTCTGTCTTGGCCGCAGGACCATCGAGTGGCCGCAGCTGCGTTTCCGACCGCACCCTTTGGCCTTCGCTGCGCCGCGCGGCTTGCGCCGTGTTTGCAACGACCCGCAACGAGCAGCACATCCACTCGTCTCTTCGTAGCTTTCATCCCTGAGCCAAGAGTTGTAACCACGCAGTGCCCCCCACTGGGCCTGCCTGGGACTTGGCGTCAGTGAGCGGAGGGGGACGGTCATCGAAGAGTGGAGTTGGGATGAGGGAGGGGGGAAGGATGAAGAAGAAGCACAGGTGCCCCACCAAGCAGACATGTCAGGAGCAAGAGGAGCAGGAGCAAGAAGAGCAAGAAGAGGAGCAAGAAGAGCAAGAAGAGGAGCAAGAGGAGCAGGAAGAGGAGCCGGAAGAGGAGGAGGAGGAGGAGGAAGAGGAGCGCTGCCAGGCCTTGCCGCGGCCCCCGCCGCTGCGCAGACGGCGCCCGAAGCCTGCCTTGCTCTTTGCCCACGGTAGCGGCAGATGGAGCCGAGGAGAGAGCGGGCGGGTCTGAGGAGGCAGTCCGGTGTGCAGCGTAATTTTCGGAGGTCCGCGCGAGCTTCTCAGGTGAGTGAAACGGGTCCTGGACCCTTGTGCGTGTTCTTGGGGCCAACTCTTCATACCGAGTCGTCATTTGTCGGCCCCGGGGCCCGTGGAGGGTTTCGGGGACGTAGAAGCGGGGGCCAATTTCCTGGATTCCCGGGCCACCTTCCTTCAAAGGCCCGCTTCCTTCGCGCTTGCGACCAGGGTTTCCTGGCCATCCATCGCGGGATCGGGAGCGGAAAAGAGGGGGTGATGACTAGGGGGGGGGGATGTCATGGCGGGGGCCATGATATCTCCCCAGATATCATGGCGCCTCTTCTTATTTCATTACGTCCCTGGCCCCCCCGCCGGGCCGCGCACATGCCGCCCGTCATGATTTGTACCCCCCCCCGCTCTTGGACACCCCCTCTTGGCCGCTCCCGACACGTGGGGGGGGGGGCCAGCTGGCTTCGGCGCCAGTCCGCCGAGGGCGGGCCGGCTGGTGGATCACGAGCCGCACCGCCGCTCTGCGGGATGGGGCGTCATGGCCAGGGGCAGGACGTCTCCCAAAATGCATGTCCCCACCTCCATCTTTCGGTGCGCCTCCTCCTCCTCCTCCTCCTCCTACTTCTCCCCCTCCTCCTCCAGCCCTTCCTCCTCCATTCCTTTTCCTTATGAATAATTTCTCCATGTCGCACCCCGAGGCCAGTTTTCAGGGCGGGCCGTGTTTTTCGGCTGAGACTTTCTCACCATAATGACCCTGAAGCTTGAACATAGGCAAGAGCTCCACAGATGGAGGGCGGGTGGTTTTCAAACTATCGCTCTCGCCTTAGCGCCGCGCACATTCGTGTATATATATATATATATACATAAATATAATATATATATATATATATATATAAAAAAAAAAAAAAAAAAAAAAAAAAAAAAAAAAAAAAAAAAAAAAAAAAAAAAAAAAAAACTTGCCAGAGTTTTGCGGCCTGAGAGCGGATGGTTTTCAAACTGTGGTTCTCGCCTTAGCGCCGCGCACATTCGTTTTGGCAATTGCGAGAGTTTCACGGATTGAGAGCGGATGATTTTCAAACTGTGGTTCTTGCCTTAGCGTCGCGCACATTCGTTTCAAGAATTGCGAGAGCTTCACGGATTGAGGGCGGATGGCTTTCAAAGTGTGGTTCTCTCCTGAGTGCCCTGCATACTCGTCTAAAACATTTGCAAGAGTTTCACGGATTGAGGGCGGTTCCTTGTTTAAAATGTGGTTCTCAGCGTCACGCACATTCGTGGTTTAACATTTGCATTTGCAAGAGTTCGCGGATTGACAGCGGGTGGTTAAACAAATGTGGTTCTCGCCTTAGCGCCGCGTGCGTTCGTTTTACATGTTTGCAAGATTCTCACTGACACCCATGATCAACGTACCAGAACTTGTGTTTCGGCAAGATGCAGGAGTACGAGGATGCAACAGTGACGTTGACTCGCGGTGTTGAGGTCCCAGGAATGACGTTCTGGCACGAATCAGAATCGTCAAGACGCAACAGTCAGGTTGATCCGTGGCGTTGGAATCCTGAGAACAATGTTTTGGCATGTTTCAGTGTCTTCAAACGGTTGTCTTCCAACGACGCAGTTCCCTCAGTGCAAATGAACCGTTGTAGGGACCTTTGAAGAGGGAGCTTGGAGGGAGGATTTATTCCAACATCGTTGATGACTCTTGGGTTTACACTGGTCCTCCTCCTCCTCCTCCTCCTCCTCCCCCTCCTCCTCCTCCTCCTCATCATCATCCTCCTCCTCACCCTCCTCCTCCTCCTTCCCCTCCTCCTCCTCTTCCTCCTCCTCCTTCTCCTCCTCCTCCCCCTCGTCCTCCTCCTCCTCCTCCTCCTCCTCCTCCTCCTCCTCCTCCTCCTCCTCCTCCCCCCCCTTTTGTCCGCGCACGTGTCTCTGGCCCTCCTCTGCGGCGCACCCGGCCTGGCAGGAGGGTGGAGAAGAGGTGCCTCGGGGGGGGTCACGCAGCAGCGTCCTCTGGGCGCTGCTCACCGAACTTGGCTCTCTGGGCGTCGTCCTCGTTGGCCCTGCCGTGGTGGTCCCCTTGCCTCGCTCCAAGGGTCGAAGAAGAACAAAAAAGCCATGAATGTAGAAGCTTGTGGTGCTCCGCGCGGATTTTTCGGATCCGCGCTGGACCCCCCTCCCTGGCGCGCGGAGCGCGCCAGGGGCGAGCCCAAAACGCGGATCCAAGAACTCCGCGCGAAGCGCCAGAACGTTATGGTTATTGCGTTCCATCTTATTCGATCCTCGCTCCAAGGCGCACGTCTGCCCCGACGGGGGCCATCGAGGACGGGTCCTCTCGCGAAGAAAAATACACGCGCGACGCCGAAGAAGGCACGGGGAGAGGCCGTCCGAGCCATGGCGAGGGGCCCGTTCGGCTCCATCTGGGCTCCAGCCCGACCCGAGCTCGACCCGAGTTCGGCGCGGGTCGACCGTCGGTCGGCGCAGCATCAACGCGGGAGCGGGGCGAGTGGCTCAAGGAGGGCCCGCAGAACTAGCATCTGACTGTGCTCTGTCCCCCCCCCCCCCCTGCTGGCCGCCCCGAGTTCCGTTGCGGTGAGTGGGCGGCGGTCGTCGCCGTGGCCATCGACGGTCAAACACGGGGCGAGCTCTGGGGGCCGTGGCGCGCCCCCCCGGGAGGCCGAACGCAGTGAACAGCCTCTGGGGCCCCAACTCTGCGCGGACCCTTTGACGCCCGCCGATCTGATTCTTTCAACCCTCGGCGCCAGGGATGCCCGACCGACTCGGGGGGGGGGGCAGCTCTTCGCCCCAGATCCCGTGGAGCTGGTACTGGCATGTCCCTTTGCTTCTGAGCCTTCATGGCAGGCTGTTTCTTGAATGTGCGACTGAGCTCGTGCGGTGATCTTCGATTGCCATGCGGTGGCGAAACAGAAAAAAAAAAAAAGCTCTTCGCCCCAGATTCACGCTTTTGATGGTCGAAGGACCCTTCCTAAGCCCCCAGAGAGAGCTTCGGAAGCTCTCTCCAGGGTCTGCCAGCACGTGACTCGCGGAGCTTCGCTGAGAGCGAAGCGGCGAGCTTAAGAGTGATTCGAAAACGCTGGCGGGCGAGTAGGCTCGAAAAATCTCGACCGAAGGTTTGACGCCGTCGTGCGGCCCCTGGACGGGCTTCCGGCGGTCGAAATCGAGGAGCAGCGCCCGGATTGAGCGGATCACATCGTCGGAGATCTGGGCCCGCGTCCTTCGTGCCACCCTCGGCCGTCCGCGGTGATGTGCAGGGCTCGAGGTTGGAAGCATCATGTTGGCGGCTCGTGCCGTGAAGAAGTGCAAGACAAGACCATGCCACCCTCCGCCGTCCCCCCCCCCTTTGTCAGGGGCAGCGATCGGGGGGGATAGACATAGGGGGGACGCATCGACCCCCAATCGCCGATCGTCGATAGGGGCCCGCTAGCCCCGACCTGCCCGGGACTGTGTGGACTCCTTTGATCGGCGATCGGGAGCTTATTGCCGATGCATCGGCGACGTATTGCCGATTCCAGGTCGATGTGCCCACCCTATGCCAGTCCCCCCCTACCGTTGCACCCCCCCCCCTTGTCGTCCGCCCCGAGCTCCGCGATGGTGGGCAGTACGGTCGGACCGAGGTATAAGATCGAGGTCGGTTCGGGAAGGGCACCCTAATGTTCTTGGTGGTAGTTTGGTGTTCTTGAACATCCCGGGGAGGGTACCCTTGGACCTTGGATGTTCTGTGTGTGTTTTAGCCGACCTTCTCGCTACTCTTTGCTCTCTTGGCCTTGACGTGAGGCCCCTCCTTCTGCCGTCCCCCCTCTGTCAATTAAAGCGGTGCGCTGCCCGCTTAGCCTCGACCGGAAGAGGCTCGCTCTCGACCCGCGGATCAAAAAGTTTTCGCCGACGGAGACTCTCGCGTTCTTGAGGGATGTTCTTCTGGCCCAGGTCCGACTCTAGCCGTCGCTGTTCCGCCGCCGGCCGCTCGGCCACCCGCGCTCGGGAGGCGGCAGCTGCACGGACCCACCGGGCTCCTCCTCCTCCGCCCCGCCCCCCCTGCCAGAAGGGGTCCCGTGTCCTCCTTCTGGCCCCTTTTCTCCTCCTGGTCCTTTCGATTGGCCATATTGCTGGTGCGTCTCACGTTCGGGCGCGTTCGCCCGTATGCTCGCCCTTCTCCCAAGCCTGTCTCGGTGTCTGTGTCACCCTCTCTTTTTCGGACCAGCTTCTTCGGAGGCAGGCCAATCCAGCATGCAGTATCCTCCTTACCGTCCTGCTCCTTTCTCTCGCTCCTCCTCAGTGCAGGTTGCGTTGCTCGTGGGCAGGCGGCCTTTGGCCACGGCATTGGCAAGATTAACGTGCGTATGTTGGTTGGGGATGGAGTGCAATCTCTCCCCATGCCGGGGGAGGGAAAAATGAAGTAGGAGGTAATGTATCGCCGATTTCAGCTCGATGCTTCCCCACAGTGAGCCGCTCTAGCCCTAACGCTCCCCCGTACCCCATGTCTTGAGGGGGGCAGGATGAGGAGGAGGAGGAGGATGATCATGATGATGAGTATGAGGCTATTGCTGCTGCTGGTGATGATACATATGAATATGTCGTTGGTGATGATCGTGGTGGTGATGGTGATGGTGAAGATGACTGTGAACATGAAGATGAAGATGCTGATGATGACGACGACGATGATGACGATGATGATGATGATGCTGATGATGATGCTGATGATGATGGTGATAGTGATGATGAGGATGAGGATGATGATGATGATGAGGAGGATCAGGATTTTGATGATGGTGAGGAGGAGGATGATGATGATGATCCTGCTAATGATAATGTTGATGATGATGGTGATGATCATGATCAGGATCATGATCATGATGAGGATCATGATGACGGCGATGATGAGGAGGACGAGGAGGAAGAAGAGAAGGAGGAGGCGGAGAAGGAGAGAGGTGGGCTTGTGGAACCGTTCGGCTCCTACCCCCGTCCCCCCTTTCCCGTGGAGAGGCGCTTGGCGCCGCGGCGCCCGCGGCCGCGTCGGCAGCCTCGGCAGCGGAGCCCGCTGCCATGGAGAAGGAGGAGGAGGAGGAGGAGGATAAGGATGAGGAGGAGGAGGAGGAAAAAGTGAGAGGGGGGTGGGGAGAGGGATGGGCGGAGGGAGGGATGGAGGAAGAGAGGAGAAGGAGGAGGAGGAAGACGAGGAGGAGGAGGAGGGGGGAGAGGAACAGGAGGACCAGTGCAAACCCAAGACCCATCAACGATGATGGAATACACTCTCCCTCCAAGTTCCTTCTTCACAGGACCCACTGAGGGAAGTGCCCTGCTGGCGGACCAAAGTGCGGAAAGCCTGAAGCGCGCCAAAGCAACACTCTCAGGACTTCAATGACACGAATTAACTTGAAGGGTGCGTCTCGTCGATCCTGAATCGCCCCAGAACGTCACTCCTGGGACTTAAAACCGCGATCAACGCAAATGTTGCCCATTGACGACATTGAATCGTTCCCAAACAACGCTTCTGGTACGCTAGCCATGAGAAGAAGTGAAGCTCCTGCAAATGTCTGAAACGAATGTGCGCGGCACTGTTTGTTTGAAAAGGAGCTGCCCTCAGTCCGTTGTGTAAAACGAATGGTCACGGTGCTAGGGCGACAACCGCAGTTTAACAAATGAACCGCATTCAGTCCGTGAAATTCCTGCATATGTTAACACAATATACGCGTCGGTAAGACGAGAGCCACATTGTGAAAACGAACCACCCTCAATCAATTAAATTGCGACACGTGGCTAAAACGAATGCGCGCGGCGCGAAGACGAGAGCCACATGTTCAAAACCACCAGCGTTCAAACCGTTAATGTGCTGCATTGTTTCCCAACCATCTTGTTGTGTGTGGTCCTCATTTTGAAGAGAACCACGCCTCCTCCTCCTCCTCCTCCTCCTCCTCCTCCTCCTCTCCTCCTCCCCCTCCTCTTTCCTCCCGTCACCATTATCATCGGCATCGCCATCGTCATCATCATCATCATCATCATCATCATCATCATCATCATCATCATCATCATCATCATCATCATCATCATCATCCTCATCCTCATCCTCATCCTCATCACCATCCTCATCACCATCATCATCGTTTCAGCATCGCCACCATCATCGCCATCAACTTCGGCACACACCTCAAACGTTTCGTGGCTTCATTGGGATTCCATATCAGGACTCATTGGCGCAGTTCGCATGGCGGCGCCGCCCCATTGTGGCACACCCCTCACACGTTTCGTGGCCCCACAGGGTGCCCCATTTAAGGTCATAGTGGCGCACTTCGCATGGCAGCGCCGCCCCATTTCGGTACACCCCTCACACGTTTCGCGGCCTCATAGGGAGCTCCACCTAAGGTTCCAGCGGCGCAGTCCGCATGGCGGCGCCGCCCCATGTTGGCACTCCACCTAAGGTCCCAGTGGCGCAGTTCGCATTGCGGCGCCGCCCCTTTTTGGTTCACCCCTCACACCTTTCGTGACACCATTCGGAGGCCCGCCTAAGGTCCCAGTGGCGCAGTTCGCATGGCGGCACCGCCCCATTTTGGCCCACCCCTCGCACGTTTCGTGGCCCCATATGGAGCTTCACCGAAGGCCCCGGTGGAAGCGTCCGCATGGCGGTCCCGCCCTTTTTCGGCACACCCCTCGCACGCGTTGTGGCCCCATAAGGGGGCGTTACCGAAGGCCCCAGTGGCAGCGACCGCATGGCGGCCCCGCCCCATTTCGGCACACCTTTCACGCGCTTCCTGGCCCCATAAGGAGATCCACCGAAGGCAACACTAACAACGACAGTAGTCACAACTGCATATGGTTGGGTCCTTCGCCAGGCGAATTTTCTGTTTAAGGAAAAACGAATTTGCGAGGCGCTAAGGCGAGAGCCGCATTTTGAAAACCAACCGCCCTCAATCCGCCAAACTCTTGCAATTTTTGATACGAACATGCGCGGCGCGAAGGCGAGGGCCAGTTTTTGAAAACGACCGCCCTCCATGCGAGAAGCTGTTGAAAATGTTTGAAACCAATGTGCGCGGCGCTGAGGCGAGAAGCCGCGATTGCGCGGCGCCGAGGCGAGACGCCGCGCTTGAAACCAATCTGCAACGTTTGAAACTAAGCCGCGTTGTGGAAGCGGCCCGCCCTCAAAATGTGAGATTGTTGCCAGTTTTGCCTGCTTGAGACTCGGAAATGGTACGGAAGACTCAGGCGAAACGCCCGGCCCGCCTTTCCTATTGGCGTCGGTGTGCGACAGGGAGGGGCGATTCAGAAGGATAAGGAATGGAGAAATGGAGAAATGGAGGAGGAGGAGGAGGCGGAGGAGGAGGGGGAGGAGGAAGAGGCTCGCTGGAGCCCCCTATGGGGTCACGAAACGTGTGAGGGGTATGCCAAAGCATGCGAACGCAGCCACTGGGGCCTTACTTCGGTGGAGCCCCCTTTATAGGGCCACGAAACTTGTCAGCGGTGTGCAAGAGTGAGGGGGGCGGCATGCGAACGCAGCCACTGAGGCTTTCGGTGGAGCTCCTTATGGGGCCACGAAATGTGTGAGCGGTGTGCCAGAGTGAGGGGGGTGCAGGCATGCGAACGCAGCCACTGGGGCCTTCGGTGGAGCTCCCTATGCGGCCACGAAACGTGTGAGGGGCGTGCCAGAGTGAGGGGGTGGCAGCATGCGAACGCAGCCGCTGGGGCCTTCGGTGGAGCCCCCTTATGCGGCCACGAAACGTGAGGGGTGTGCCAAAGTGAGGGGGGTGGCGGCATGCGAACGCAGCCACTGGGGCCTTCGGTGGAGACTTTTCTTATGGGGCCACGAAACGTGTGAGGGGTGTGCCAAAGAGAGGGGGGGACATGCGAACCATGCCACTGGGAGGGGTGTGCCACAGTGAGGAGGGCGACGGGAGGAGGGAGAAGGGGGAGGAGGAGAAGAGGAGGAGCAGGGGAGGAACAGACGTGGGGATCGTCTTTTCAACACGAAGACCCAACACCACAGGATGTTTGGGAAAAGCATTGCATCCGTAGAAGGCAAGCTGCGAGAGAGGTGGCGGTAACCGCCCGACCTCAAGCCCCAAATCCGCTTCGCTCTCCAGAGGGTGTGGCGCATAGCGCCTCCCAGCGCGGCCTCCACATGCTGAAAGACAGAACGCCCGTGAGCGTGAGAGGGGGGGGGCTCAGCGGGTTGGCCGAGAGGCCTGACAAGGCAAGAATTGGCCATGGCTGAGACCCCCATGATGATCTGAAACCAAAGCCCCCTGGCGAGATGGAATGCCCCCAAAAGCGTCCAACGTCGAGCCACGCCTGCCGGTATCAGGACCCGCGCAGCACGACGTCTTCCGTCGCCCTCCTCACTGTGGCACACCCCTCCCAGTGGCATGGTTCGCATGCCCCCCCCTCTCTTTGGCACACCCCTCACACGTTTCGTGGCCCCATAAGAAAAGTCTCCACCGAAGGCCCCAGTGGCTGCGTTCGCATGCCGCCACCCCCCCCACTTTGGCACACCCCTCACACGTTTCGGGGCCTCATAAAAAGGGGCTCCACCGAAGGCCCCAGCGGCTGTGTTCGCATGCCGCCCCCCCCCCTCACTTTGGCACACGTCAGAGCCACAGGCTGACCAAGCTGAAAAAAAAGAGAGGCTACCGCTCGGCCATGCTCACGGACCACGCCGAGGCAGGTCGCCAGCTGCTGCGACTGTGTGATCCTCGCGGAACGCTCCAGCAGCTCGGCTGCCTCCTTGGCCACATCCGGCTCAGCTTGCACCAGCCTGCTGGCCCGCGGCCGACGCGCCACTGGCGCCATCGGCAGAACCTGCCGCTGGCTACCCCGTGGCCTCTTGGTCGGCACCACGCGCCTCAGCTGGCTCATCAAACTTCCTCTTCTTGGCCAGCCTGCCGGGGTGCTCGCGGTGAAGAGACTTGATGCGTTCCGTTTCGTCCACCGCTTCAGAAAATAATGCTTGCGCCATCCCCATGATGCTGTCACGATATTGGTGGCCTCGCTTGTCCAGCTCATCCTGGTCGGTATCCGACAGGTCGTAGTCATCAAAATTCCTGAGAGACTCTGCCGGGTCGATGACCAACGCCTTCGTGAAGCTCCCGCCGAGGATGGACGAGAGGGTGTACTTGCTCGGAGCAAGAGAAATTATTTCCGCAGCCGTAGTCTCGGCATGAAGGGCCTTGACCAAGCGACAATGCTCGTTCTTGTTTGGCTTGCCCAACTCCTCCGACAACTTAGAACTGAATCTGCGCTGTTCCACCTTCTGGAAACTCCATTCTTCGCATCGTTGTACCGCACCCTGCAGCCGCTTCTCCACCGCGTGCATCTTGGAGCGCGTCATGAACACTCGTTGTTGCAGGGTAGGCTCCTTGGGCGGTGGGGGCGGCTTGGCCGAAGCACGATGCTTGGACGCACCCGCCATATCACCTCCTTACTCCAGCAGCTCCGCGAGGCGACCGTGATCTTCAGTGGACATGTTGCTGGACGCACGCTGCTCTCCCGTGGTGGCACAGTCACCAGTGTCGGGAGCCGAGCTGCCACCAATTCCACACGCCGACCAGAACTCACCCGAGGTAGCACCGACAAGGACGAGGCTGCTTACCAAGCGCTGGCGAACGGCGACGAGCTCCCCCGGGCACCACTGGGCAGCACTCCGCAGCTCTCGAGCCTGCCTGAAACGGCGCCCACGAGGCGCCACAGTGCCTCGCAACGTCGCCAATGCCACTGATTCTGCCTGCAGCCGCATGACAGGCAGGCCCAGCGCGCAGGGGCTACATGGCTGGGTGGCTGCAGGCCAGGCGTCAACGCAGCCCAAGGGGGCGGAGGGCTAGCGCCACCACCACCAGAGCCCACGCCCAGAGCGTCGGAACCCAGCTGCCCGCCGTGCGGAACCCTTGCCCTCGAAGCCGCAAGCCTTCCCGCAGCCCTTGACACGCCCGCCGCTCTTCGACATAGCGGCTGCTGAACACTCGTTGCGAAAGGAGGGAACCGGCCCTCAACCGGAAACGCTTGACTCGCAGGCACTAAGTGATGTTTTGAATCTCGCACCTGCAGCGCTCAAACGCTTGAGCGCAAAACGGTTGGATGGAGAAGGCTCACTACTCAAGAAATATACGGGGTAGGTTTCACAAGTTGTTGCTTACAGGCGGAGCTGGTCAGGAGGCGTCCCCCCGGGCTCTGAGCGGCCAGCCGTCGCTCGCGGCCCGGGCAGGCCGTGGAAAGCTCACGTTCTTGACTTTGGGTCCTGATTATTTTCTAGGCAACACCACTGTAAACTTGCTTAGGCATACCCCAAAAACGACCAGACCCAAGACGACCGTACCCAAAACGGCCACCTCTAAATTCGTTTTTACGCATGCTAAAACCACGCCAACGTGCACTTCTTACGCACGCCCAACGACCCCACGCGCCCGCCTTGCGCACGCAGGCTGAATGTGGCTTGCAAGAGTTTTACAGCAATCAAAGGGAACCCAGCTCTTGGTGACGCGCGGTGGCCTTCCTGCGATCTCAGGGCGGCATCCAGGGGCCTGCGGTAGGTTCGCGTCGTGTCGACCGGCGGCGACCCAGCCGCCGGCGTTGAAAGTTGAACGCCGCCGGCGTCGCAGAATCGGTCGAAATTGAAAGAGTTGACGTTTCGGAAACGACCGATCGTTCAAGGTTGAACGATTCCCGCGGTGTCAGGAACCAACGCTGGGGTCGACCCGATTCGATATGGGTTTTGGCTTGCTCGATCCGATTCGGTTCCGACTTCCAGTCGATCCGACGGGATGTTCAAGGTTGCCCCTCAGTGCATCGATTGAGGGGGGCTGGCGAACTTCCGGTTCGATAAATAATGATGTAAAGTTGGATTGTTTCTTGACAAATTCGTTTCGCGCGTGCCCGCTCGTGGAAAACTTGCCCCCGATCTCGGATCTTCCATAAACAAGTGGGTCCGCAGACACACGTTTCCCCCCAAGAAAACGGAGTACTGAGCGTTTTGCGCAGAATCCGCGATGTGTCTGGAGGCTTTGAAATTTGCCAGAAAATGACAAGTACATTTGTTGCGTGCCTGCTCGAGGATGGCGCGCCTTGCGCGCCGAATGTCTGAGGATCAAGCGAAATTCTCGTTTTGCAGAACTTGAGCGGCCTGACCGCCCCAGGATGCCCAGGTGGCTCTTGGAGCCCGATCACAAAGTAATATACTCGGGAACGTGGCCCTGGGAGCGCGGACACAGCGTAATTCACGAGGGAGCGTGGCCCTGGGAATGCGGACACAGCGTGTAATTTACAAGGGATCGTGGCCCTGGGAGCGCGGACGCAGCATAGTTTACGATGGATCGTGGCCCTGGGAGCGCGGCCGCAGCGTATTTTACGAGGGATCCTGGCCCTGGGTCAGGGACGTCCCGCGGCACGGTCCCTGACGCGTTCCCTGGCACGTCCCCTGGCGCGTTCCATGGCGCGTCTCGTGGCGAGTCCCCCCCCCTGGCGCGTCGCGCGGCGCGTCCCCTGGCACGTACCGTGGCACGTCCATTGGCACGTTCTGTAGCGCGTCCCATTGGCACGTCCCGCGGTGCGTCCCCATGGCACGTCCCCTGGCACGTCCCCTGGCGCGTTCCTTGGGACGTTCCGCGGCGCGTCCCCCTGGCATGTCCCCCTGGCAACGCCCAGTTGCATATGCAAGTGAGATCCTCGGAAACGGTTCCATGCCTCGCAGTTCTAAATCCCTTTCCGGTCTCGTTGGTCGATCATGTTTTGGATAGTATGTCATTCCGCCGGTTTGGCCCACCACGCTATCCACTTCCCATTCCCCAGGATTCAACGTCCCGAGCCTCTCCGAGCCTCCCGCCCCGCCCGCGGAGCGGAGCGACATGCTATCCGCTTGCAGGATACAGCGTGCCGCCAGGGCCGCCGCGGCGACACGCTGTCCAGAAGGTCCCGACCGTCCGACCGTACACGGCGCCGCGGTGCATCTTCACGCAGCCGAGCCGATTCGATGCACGATCTGCTCCAGTCCGACGATGCATCGGTTCGATGTTGCGCGCGCCCGCCACCCGAGGGGGGGAGCGTGGAGCGGCGCCCCGCTGCGTGGCAGTCTCTCTCGCCACGCACTCCATCCGAGCTGGCGCTCCCGCAGGGACACTGCGGCCGGGTGCTGCAGGCCTCGGCGGCCAGGGCGGGGGGGGGCAGGCGCCGGCGGCTCCTGCCCCGCGCCGAGAGCTCCGAGAGAGCTCCGAGAGAGCAGGGCCAACGCTCCGGTTTGCCGCAGTGGGTGCGGTGAGCCTCTTCCGCCTCCGTCTTACGTCAGACTAGACCAAGCGAGAAGCCGTGGCGTCCTCCGCCTCCTCCTCCTCCTCCTCCTCCTCCTCCTCCTCCTCCTCCTCCTCCTCCTCCTCCCTCCCCCTCCTCCTCCTCCTCCTCCCCCCCTCCCCCTCCCCCTCCTCCTCCCCCTCCTCCCCCTCCTCTCCCTCCCTCCTCCCGCCGAAATCTAGACCGGAGGCCCCGAGGCCGAGCCGAGGGAGCGGCGGTGGTCCTGCCGCGTCGCCAGGGGGGGCCTCGGTAGCCCGTGCGCCCTGGAGGTTTGCAGCGTAAGCAGCAGCATGACCGCTCTGATCTGATCCTGTATTCAAGGGCTCCTCCTCCTCCTCCTCCTCCTCCTCCTCCTCCTCTTCTTCCTCCCCCTCCTCCTCCTTCTCCTCCTCCTCCCCCTCCTCCTCCTCCCCCTCCTCCTCCGCCTCCTCCGCCTCCTCCTCCTCCTCCTCCTCCTCCGCCTCTACTCGCGCTTCGCCGTTCGGCTCCGATTCCTCCTCATCCTGCTCTTCTCCCCTGGGAGGCGGCGCGAAGGCGCGAAGTCATTCGCACTTCGCGCTCCGCGCTGCGCGGAGCGCGAAGTTGGGGGCCCTTGTCTGATCTGATCCTACATTCAATTGAGTCGCCTTCTCAGGAGACTTCAACCACGGCCTCACAGAGGACGCCGCGGATACGACGCATGGCGCAGAGTCGGCAGCGGAGAGCATGGAAACGGAGGGTGTGCGGAGGAGAGGGAGGAGACAAATCACAAGCGACCATGACGTTGCAACTTGTACTGCAAGTGTTTGCTCCCTTCATGTTTGCCCTTCCCGAAGGTCGTTTGAGTGATGAGTTGCCTCCATGCCGTAAAACATACCTTGCGCTCGAATCCGATGTAGAAGCTCTCGGTGGCTTATTAGAAGAGGTAATTGTTTCCCGTTGTGAATGATTACCGTTTGCCCGATCGAGGTACACGTACACTGCCGTCTCGGATGTTTGAACCTTGTTGCTACGCCACAGGTCATCTTGTGGAGTGGTCAACGAGTTGTGCACAACCTTCAACTGTATTGGCGCGTGCCAGCGTAATGATGTTCCAGAATGCCACCGGTGGATACGTACCCAATCCATAGAGCTGCTTTCGTGGTAGGAAAGCGCTCTGTGATTAGACTGATGCGCTGAACGTGGTTTCGTCTGTCGTCTCTCGTCTGGCATAAGCTGGATGCTGCAACCTTTTAGCTGCATCGTGCGAACCTGTGGGTGACTGGCTTTGTTGAGTCGAACTGCTGTTGTGTTGGCGTGGTCGTGGAGGCATCATGGCAGTGATTTTCCGATCATGGTACCCACAATATGCTTGCTGTAGTCCGTACAGTGTAGTGAGTCCTGCAGGTGATGTAGGCGGGAAGGCTGCTGAGTGAGAGACGTTTGGGTGGCGAAGGCATTGTCGTTGGTTGCCTTTCGTAGATGAAGTTGCTTGAAGGTGTCCTCGCGAACATGGCGCATACAGTCATCTGACAGATTGCTTGCAATGTGCTGTGAGATCGTGTCACAGACTTGGTTCCAGTCATTGCTGGCAGTGCCCTGTGAATTGTGGTACAGTCGGGCCGATGTATAAGATCGAGGTCGGTTCGGGGAGGGTGCCCTAGTGTTCTTCGTGTTTGTTGGATGTTCTTGTGCATCCTGGGGCTGGCACCCTTGCATGTTATGTGTGTGTTGGCCGGCGGAGGTCCCATGTTTTTGAAGGATGTTTTTTCTGGCCTGGCTCCGACTGTAGCGTGACTGAAAGTTCGTTCTCAATATCCAGCTGCTTGCGGTAAGTCCGCCGACATGCCAGCAAACCGCTCGCTCTGTGTGGTGACCCTTCGAGGCCCGCCAGGAAGGCCGTCATGTGTGGGACCTCTCGCAGGTGCCACCTCTTCTCGCTCAGTTGGGCCGGCTTCGGGTTGTCCTGGAGCTCCCATAATGGCCCTCCTGGGCCATCTTGGAGCCCTCTTGCGCCGTCTTTGGTCCCCCCCCCAGACTTCAGGTTGGTCTTCTCGATCCTAGCGTGTTTTCTTCATTTCGGCTTCCCGGGCCGCGTTTGAGTCCTGGGCCATCAGAAATGGGCACAGGGCGATAAAGCTTGACATTCCAGAAGGGGCATACCGTATACCAAACGCCAGGACATTGGGACGGAAGCTCCACTCGAGACTCAAGCAGTCCTGATAGGCCTATATGTTTGGAGGACTACAGTCAAGATCCATAGTAAGTATGCGCTGCTTCATCCAGGCTACCCTTGCATCCCTGCTTCTTTGGTCGATCCTGAGCCAATGTTGACGTCCAAGGACTTCCATGTGCCTAAGGGCTTTACATCCTTACCTTGCGTTTTTACGATGGATGTCGACAGTGTGCTTGTCAGAGTGGGGGGGCCGAACGGTCATCCACTGTCCGCGGGCGCGCGGCTGAAGTGAGGTTCCGCGGTGCGGACTGTTGTTGCGTTGTTGTTAATGTTGTTGTTCCGTTGTTGCTGTTGGTGTTGTTATTGTTGGTGTTGTTATTGTTGGTGTTGTTGGAGTTGTTGTTGTTGGTGGTGGTGTTGGTGGTGGTGTTGGTGGTGATGGTGTTGTTTTTGATGTTCGTGTTGTTGTTGTTCGTGGTGATGCTGCCGTTGCTGTTGTTGTTGGTGGTGGTGGTGGTTGTGATGGTAGTGGTGGTGTTGTTGCTGCAGCTGTTGTTGTTGCTGCCGCTGCTGTTGTTGTTGGGTTGTTGCGTTGTTGTCGTCGCCCTCGCCCGCGGCCCGTCCGCGACCCGCCCAGGACCCACCCGTGACCCACCCGGGACTCACCCACATTGTTTTGACGAAAATTCAGCGCTTGCGGCGGGCTCGTTGTGCAATGTGTTACAAGGATCGGCGCTTGCGCCAGGCTTCTTCAGAACCTCGCAGGCTGCCGACGATCCCGCCGCCCCCCCACTCTTATCCGCAACATCGGGGTGTTACGTTGCTCTCTAAAGGGTTCGGAGCAAAATCCTAGTCTTTGAGAAGGGGTCGACATCTTCGGGGCCCGTGGGTTCAGAAAGGAACTCATCCGCAGGTCCGGGCTAGAGTTGAGTCGGGCATGTCCTCCTACAGGAGGAATACTCTAGAATAGTAGAAAATAGTCCGCGCACGATGTTTGAGTATTTGTCCTCCAACATCCGCCTGTAGGAGGACAAGGCTAGAGGCCTTCGCAGGCCTCCAGCATCCTCTAGCCAGGGGCCTCGAGAAGCGCAACATGATCCCAGGTTGGAGTACATACTGCGTGCTGGGTGATGATCTGGAATCACCGTCATCGTCGTCGCACAGCTGGAAGGCTTCTGAGAGGCGAAGTTTCCTCAACTGCCGTGCCCAACGCGAGCTGGATACAGTGGAGGCCCATGCCTAGAAACACCCTGCTTGCCTCCAGGGTGCCCCGGGTTTCTTGGATCTCGACGGTTGCGTTGTCGTGGAAGGCGTGACGTTCCCACACCAACAAACCACTGGACGCCCTGGGGCCTCATGGTTGGGTTTCTCGTGGAAGATCTCTTGCAGACTGGCATCCACTGCATGGAATCGGCTCGTTGTGCAAGGTGTTAACAGGATCGGCGCCTGCGCCGGGCTTCTTCAGCACCTCGCAGGCTGCCGACGATCCCGCCGCCCCCCCCCATTCTTGTCCGCAACATCGGGGTGCTGCGTGGCTCTCTACAGGGTTCGGGGCAAGCAAAAACCTAGTCTTTGAGAAGGGGTCGACATCTTTGGGTTTCTTGTGGAAGACTTCTTGCAGACTGGCCTCCGCTGCATGGAATCGGCCTCTTGGCCCCTCGGCGACGCGCCCCGCTGCCACCGAGCGACGGCCCCCCCCCCCGCCGCGCGCAGCCTGGGTGGTGGGTGCCCCTCGCCGGGGACCGACTATGATTCCAGTGAGGGGTGAGGAGGAGGAGGAGGAGGAGGAGGAGGAGGAGGAGGAGGAGAAGCAGGAGGAGGAGGAGGAGGAGCAGGAGGAGGAGGAGAGGAGCAGGAGGAGGAGGAGGAGGAGGAGGAGGAGAAGCAGGAGGAGGAGGAGGAGGAGGAGGAGGAGCAGGAGCAGGAGCAGGAGGGGTGAGGATAGAGGAAGAGGAGTGGTCTGGCAGAGGTGTGGCGGCGACCTTCCGGCACGCGTCGCGAGCCGCCTTTGGATTCCAGAGGACCCAGCCGGAGAGGTCCAACCCCAAGGAGATTTTGAAGACGATCCCATGGCCCGCCACTGTGAATCAGGTGGGGAGGGGCACAGCCTATTCTTGTGAAGTCAGGCCTAACTTCAAGCGACCATAGAGGCAGGCTCTTACAGCATGCAGCCGTGAATCAGGTGGGGAAGGGCAAAGCCTCACGAGACGCGAACGTATCCATATCCATGCCTTGCCGTCTGGATTTCAGGGCGCGATCCCGCAGGTACGTGGTCGCACGGATACGTGCCGCGCGGGTTATTCGCGAAAAAAACGCTCCGTATCCAGGAGTTCTCGCCCACCGGGGCCCGGCCCGCGAGGCTACGGATACGGATATGTGTTTCGCCCACGACAGCCAATCGTTCAGCCAATCCCCATGAAGTCCGACCGAATTTCAAGCGGCCATAGACACACGCTCTTAAAGCATGCAGCCGACCAGGATCATAATTACGAGCAGCTTTCCAAGGGCACCCTTCGGCCCATGGCCGGCCGCTACCGCTGGGCACTGTCGCTCGAGAGGTTTCCATTTGGGCGTGCAAGATCCTCGCGTGCCTACTGCTTATTCCTATGATCCCGTCGTGGTGCATAAGAGATGGGCGCACATGAGCACTTACGGTCGGAAATTTCGGCTGAACGTGTCGCCCCACCGCGCTTCGGCGCGATATGCCATCCACGCGAGCCAGAAGATGCTCTCGATGACGACGAAGACGACGACGACGATGACGACGACGACATGACAATTTCTGGTGCTGTGCTGCTGCGCGTGTCGCGGCGCAGCCTGCTCTGCAGAGGCTGGCGCCGGCCTCACAGTTCGAGGCCTCCCGAAGAGGGCCTGGGCATTCGAGGCTCGCAAGAGCTGCCACCTCTTCCTCGGCGGGGGATCGGCGGTGGTAAAACTAGTGTTTTTGATTCGCGGGTCGAGAGCGCACCTCTTCTGGTCGAAGCTAAGCGGGCCGCGCGAAGCTTGAATTAGCCAGAGACGGGGGAGGAGAAGGGGGGCGCAGCCTCAGAACGAGGCCAGGGGGAGGCAAAGCCTCAGGAACTAGGGGAACAAACAATGACATAGAAATACAAACTCGGAGGTCCGCGCGGATTTCTCGGATCGGCGCTGGAACCCCCCTCCCTGGCGCGCGTAGCGCGCCAGGGGCGGCGCCGGAGGCGCCGCCAGGGAGGCCCAGCGCGGATCTGAGAAATCCGCGCGGACCTCCGAATTTTTATCTTTGTGTCACTCTGTGTTCCCCTAAAAACGGCGGCGGCCCAGCCGGCGGAAGCTTGGCGGGAGCTTGGCGGAGGCAGGCGGAAGCTAGAGTCGACCTCCCGAGAGAGGACGGCATGTTTCCCAGCAAGTGCTCGAGCCCAGGGCTCTCTTTTGGCTGTTGACCCCCGGAGTCGACTTGGAGCGGGCCGTCGGAGTTATTTGCGACAGGTAACGAGGTAAAGTTGGGTCGTTTTGAAAACATGCGATTCGCGCGTGGAACTTCCAACAGGCCTCGAACCCACAACCCAGGCACGGTGGCGCGATGGGCCGAAGGCCACTAGACGGTCCCCGACACCCAAGACGGTCTCCAGACGACCCAAGAGGCCCCCAAAATACCCAAGAGGCCTCCAAGAGGTCTCCCAAGAGAGCTCGAAGAGGCCCCAAAACAGTGTTTTTTAGTATGTGTTTGAACAATTTGGCGTGTTTGCACGTTCGGACGCTGCAGGACGCCCCAAGAGGTCTCGAGGATCGCCCCAAGACGGCCCAATAGGCTTCAAAAGCGCCCCAAGACGACCTCGGGAACGTGAGCGAGAACCAGGGATCTTCGCCTCAGGAGGCCTCCAGGAGGCCAAAGAGCCCCAAAAGAGACCCCGAGGGAATATGAAAAGAATAATTTCCAACAGTTCTTTCGTTTGAAGTTCGCCTGGCAGCACGGCTACGCTTGCAAAAAAAGAAAATATCAGATTTCCTCATCCTCTTCCTCCTCATTTTGTCCCTCCTCCTCTGCGGCCTCCTCCTCCTCATTTTCTTCCTTCTCCCCCAGGTAGCCCCTTCACCTCCCCTTGTCCTCCTTCTCCCTCCGGCTACGTCCAGCCGCGGCGAAGAGAAGGGCCCCCGAAGTGCTTCTTGGGCATGGTTTAGGCCGCCGTGGGTGGACTGTAGGAAGTCCTGGAAGCCACTTGGGCCGTCTTCGTTGTTCTTGGAAGCCATGGAGAAGAAGTAACATAAAATATAGGTCCCCGAGAGTTCGACCATCCAGCCTAGCTAGAATTTGAGCGCGCGCGAAGCGCGCGCGATGGATCGATTGTATGTATAGTATACATACATGTATATATACATATGTACACACAGACACAAATTACGAATGCTAAGTCCCTATGGCGGTTCAAGGGGGTCGATGATGCAGCACTTGCTGCTACATCCCAATACAAATTAGTTAGACGCTTCATTGCGCCCCTTGGGACCCGAGAACTGGTTGTTCCCGGTGCATTGGCGAACCCATATTTGTACGAGGAAGTATGCAATGTCAGCGCTAGAAGCATTTGTTGCCATTTCAGCTCGACGGTCTTCGGAGATCATGCCTCCATTGCCAAGCCTATGAACGGGGCGCCTCATACGTTGGTCAAGCTATTCCTGTTGAGCGTCTGCTGCAGCCCCCGTCTGCTGCTAGGAGCTCTGATTGATCAGGCCCTCTCTCAAGACGAGCTGCTGAAGGCTGAGCAGCTTGTTGCTCATGTTTCGGAAGAAGGCGATGCCAAGTATGTGAACCAGATCCGGAATTTTGGCACGGGCAAGGAACACGAAGGTGGACATCAAGTGACATTCTTGCACTCTCATGCGGATAGATTATCTGAAGGGCTTCACCCTCTGCCGCCAGCCCCTCCTCATATTGCTTGAATGGCCATGCTTGGTTGGTAGGTTGGTTAGTGCTCTTGTCGGCTGGCTGGCTGGCAACTCGGCTGATAGGCTTGTTGTCTTATTTTGTAGTGCGCATTTGGTTTGGGCTCTTTGCTGGCTGGCTGGTTACGCGCGTCTGTAATGCTTAACGAGGGTGTGTGGCCTAGGGAGCGCGCTTCCATTGTAGTTAACGGGGGTTCAAAAAACTCCAGGAGCGCGCATCCCTAGTTATTTTTCGAATAGTGTTTGGCCTCGGGCCCCGAGCAGGAAACAACGGTGGGGCTGAAAAGCGCCCCCCGAACACATAGCCCAAGACATGAAAATACAGTTGATTTGCTTTGGAAAGGGGTAAAGGTTTTGGGTGGCCTCCGTGGGGTGGACTCGTGGCCCTTGGAGTGCCAACGCGCAGCAATGCACGACGGACGTCGCTGTGGCTTCTGGAGCGCGGATCTTGTCGAATGCATCAAGGGTTGTAACCAGGGGACAGCGAGTTTGGTTCCATTCAGAAGACATCACGGCTTCTGGGACACCATGGCGTAGAAATGTGCAAGGGATTGTGGCCTAGGGAACGCAAGCTCATCGTAATTTACTATGGGGCTGTGACCTCGGCAGCTTGTAAGTTACAAGGGATTGCGGCTTGGGGAGCGCGGGCATGTGGCGTGGGCAGCGCGAATCTGGCGTAATGCATGAGGGATTATTACTTCGGGACGCGCGATTGGGGTAATGTACGAGGCTTCTGCCGTCGGGAGTGCTCCCCCAGTAGGTTCTGAAGGTGTGATTTGGGTACGGGAACCGCCCGAGCTTCGGGCTCCCCCCTCGCGCTGTCTTCAATCACTACAATAGTGGAGCTATAAGTTGTGAGATCTATAACTAGTCTATAACTATGGCTGGAACGGTTGCAGGAAGCAGGGAAGTCTTCGCTACGCAGCCTGTTAGCCCTTTAGGGGGCCGGCGGAGTCAAGAGCCTGCCGATGTCCTCGTGGGGTTCTGCAAGTTGTTGGGGTCCTGTCGTTTCCCCAAGTTGTCATGTGAAGTTCTCATTAGTGAAAGCAGTCGCGTGTGGGAGGTTCTTTGGAGCCTTTTTGGGCCTCTTGAGTGCCTCCTGGGGGCCTCGTAAGGGCCTTGTAAAGGCATCTTGGGGGCCTCTTGGGGCCTCTTTGGGGTCTCTTTGGGGCTTGCTAGCGGTCCTAGGGGTCGTCTTGGGGCGGAGGGCTGAAGATATATGTTCGTTTTCCGTTTCTTCTGCTCTTGGGCCGTTTTTGGAGGCTCTTGGGCCGCTTTGGGGCATTTCAGGGCAGTCTTGGGCCCCTCTTGGAGGTCTCTTGAGGTGTCTTGGGGCGATCTTGCGGGCCTCTTGGGCCGTGTTGGAGCGTTCGATGTTTTGAAAGCGAGAACTCTGGAATCCTTGAGGGACATTCAGGAAAACCAATTGTTATTCAATCGCTTCGATCACTCCGCCGGCCCGTATTGCATGATCGCTACTGCTTCGGCGCGGGCTCGGGGCCATTTCGGCGCCGCCGGAAGGAGGAAGATGAGGATGCGGAGGGGGAGGGGAGGAGGAGAAGAGGATGAGAAGGAACGGAGGAGGATGAAGATAAATATGAGGAGAAGGAGGAAGAGAAAAGGGCGGAGGAGGAAGCCTCTCGATGGCATCTTACGGCGCTCTTGGGGCCAAACAGGGCCGTCGTCCAGATGCTTCTTTGGGAGGCCCTGGGGTCTGTTGAGAGGCCGTTCGGGGGCGCCTGGGAGACATTTTTCCCGGAAAGGGCGCGGGCCCAGGGTTCTCTTTTAGTAGGTTAACCCCCCGGCCCCCCTGCGACTTGGGCCGGCGAAATTATTTTGCGAGCGGGCACGCACGGAGTAGGGCCGGCGGAATTATGTTTGAGGATGTCTCGAGCGAAACGCTTGTTTTTCAGAATGTGTTGAGGATGTCTCGAGCGAAATGCTGGTTTTGCAGAGTTGGGGATGTCTCGAGCGAAACGCTTGGTTTCAGAATTTGTTGAGGATGTCTCGAGCGAAACGCTGGTTTTGCAGAGCCGACCGCGACACGGAAAAGCGCCCCTCGCGCAGGAATTCTGAGGATGTCTCGCGCGTGCCGCGTCCCGCGCGCAGGAATTTAGATTTCTTGGGATTTTGACAGGATGTCTCGAGCGAAACGCTTGTTTTTCATAATTTGTTGAGGATGTCTCGAGCGAAACGCTGGTTTTGCAGAGTTGGGGGATGTCTCGAGCGAAACGCTTGCTTTTCAGAATTTGTTGAGGATGTCTCGAGCGAAACGCTGGTTTTGCAGAGTTGGGGTATCTAACATGGCGTCGGGCCCAACGCCGAATTATGAGGAAAAGTGATGGCTTCTTGCTCTGAACAGGGGGGTGCGCTTTGGGGGCCTCTCCAGGGAAGACGTTGTGAGGATGTCTCGAGCGGGAGCGCGAATTCAGCGTATCCAAGTCACGCAGAGGGGTATCTAACATGGCTGTCCCGAGCTGGAACCACGTGTTTTTTCATGCTCAGGCCACCCAGGGAGATCTCTAACATGATTGTCCCGAGCTGGAACCACGTGTTTTACGTGTCCAGGCCACCCAGGGGGTATCTCTCATGGTTGTCCCGAGCTGGCACCGTGTTTTTACGTGTCCAGGCCACCAACACGACGCTTGTCCCCAGCACGTTCTGTAGCGCGTCCCCTTGGCACGTCTCGCGGTGCGTCCCCGTGGCACGTCCCCTGGCACGTCGCCTGGCGCGTCCCTTGGAACGTTCCGCGGCGCGTCTTCCTGGCATAATTCCTTGTCAATTAGCTCTGCGGCAGCTACTTCGTGGACTATGTGCTCAGGCAGCTCGAGCTTAAGATCCAGATCAGTTCGGTCAGGACTCGGATGCAACGGAGGACTTGATCCACAACGCTGCAGAGCACAATCGCGGCATGGCACATCGCAGTTCAGCACGGCGCAGCACAGCACAGTCCTCGGCACATTGCATCAAGATCGGTACACTCACTCAGCATTGCAACTTGGCACGTTCTTTGGCACGTTCCGTGGCGCGTCCTGTGGCGAGTCCCCCTGGCACGTCGCGCGGCGCGTCCCCTGGCACGTCCCGTGGCACGTCCATAATGCATTGGCACGTTCCGTAGCGCGTCCCCTTGGCACGTCCCGCGGTGCGTCCCCATGGCACGTCCCCTGGCACGTCGCCTGGCGCGTCCCTTGGAACTTTCGGCGGCGCGTCTTCCTAGCATGCCCCCCGTGAATTAGCTCTGGGGCAGCTACTATGTGCTCAGGCAGCTCGAGCTTAAGATCCAGATCAGTTCGGTTAGGACTCGGATGCAAAGGAGGACTCGATCCACAACGCTATAGAGCACAATCGTCACGTGGCACATCGCAGTTCAGCACGGCGCAGCACAGCACAGCCCGCGGCACGGTACATCAAGATCGATACACTCACTCAGCATTGCAACTTGGCACGTTCTTTGGCACGTTCCGTGGCGCGTCCTGTGGCGAGTCCCCCTGGCACGTCGCGCGGCGCGCCCCCTGGCACGTCCCGTGGCACGTCCATTGGCACGTTCCGTAGCGCGTCCCCTTGGCACGTCCCGCGGTGCGTCCCCGTGACACGTCCCCTGACACCTCGCTTGGTGCGTCTCTTGGCACGTCCCGTGGCACGTCCATTGGCACATTCCGTAGCGCGTCCCCTTGGCACGTCCCGCGGTGCGACCCCATGACACGTCCCCTGGCACGTCGCCTGGCGCGTCCCTTGGGACGTTCTGCGGCGCGTCCTCCTGGCATGTTCCCTTGTCAATCAACTCTGGGGCAGCTACTAGTTATGTGCTTAGGCAGCTCGAGCTTAAGATCCAGATCAGTTCGGTCAGGACTCGGATGCAAAGGAGGACTCGATCCACAACGCTATAGAGCACACTCGTGGCATGGCACATCGCAATTCAGCACGGCACAGCACAGCACAGCCCTCGGCACGGTACATCAAGGTCGATACACTAAGCATTGCATTTGCCCGTCGCCTAATCAGGTGTCTTTGAAACGTTGCCATGTCTTACATTTCTATATTCCTTTCCGGGTTCGTGGGTCGATCATGTTGAAGCTTTGTAGGGCCTCTTTTGGGCCTCCTTGGAGCCTCCTGGGGTCTCTTGGGGGCCTCTTGGCGGCATCTTGGGCCATCTTGGGGGCCTCTCGGGGCCTCCTGGGGCCCTATTGGGGCGGAAGGCTTGAGGTGTCGGTTCGTGGTCCCCATCTTGGGCCCCTCTTGGGGCCGTCTTGGGGCTCCCTTGGGCCGTCTTGGGCGTCTCTTGGGCCGTCTCGGGGCCCGTTTGGGCTCTCTGGGGGCCTTCTTGGGGGCCTATTGAGCCGTTTTCGTGCGCTCTTGGGGGCCTCTTGGGCCGTCTTGGAGCATCGGAAAGCCGAAAATGCGGCAAGGCCAACATCCTTCCAAAACCATGGTAAAATTACGCTACCGAGGAACCCCACATACCTATTGTATTTCCCATGTGTACCATCGGTGCTTCTGCTGCTGCTCCTCCTTCTCCTCGGTGTCCTCCTCCTGCTGCTGCTTCTGCTGCTGCTGCTTCTGGTGCTGCTGCTGCTGCGTCTGCTGCTGCAGCTGCTGCTGCTGCTGCCGCTGCTGCTGCCCCACCTCCCCGTCCTCCTCCTCCTCCTCCTCCTCCTCCTCCTCCTCCTCCTCCTCCTCCTCCTCCTCCTTCTCTACCTCCTCTACCTCCTCATCCTACCTCCCTGTGGCGTCGAGGAAATGCCACGCCTGCCACGCCCTGGGAGCCTACAACGCATAGGGCCCCCACCCCCAGCGCACCCCCTGTGGCGTCGAGGAAATGCCACGCCTGCCACGCCCTGGGAGCCTACAACGCATAGGGCCCCCACCCCCAGCGCACCCCCTGTGGCGTCGAGGAAATGCCACGCCTGCCACGCCCTGGGAGCCTACAACGCGCCCCAGGAGGGCCACCCCCCCCCGCCTGTGGCGTCGAGGAAATGCCACGCCTGCCACGCCCTGGGAGCCTACAACGCATAGGGCCCCCACCCCCAGCGCACCCCCTGTGGCGTCGAGGAAATGCCACGCCTGCCACGCCCTGGGAGCCTACAACGCATAGGGCCCCCACCCCCAGCGCACCCCCTGTGGCGTCGAGGAAATGCCACGCCTGCCACGCCCTGGGAGCCTACAACGCATAGGGCCCCCATCCCCAGCGCACCCCCTGTGGCGTCGAAGGAATGCCCTGTGTGCTATGCTGTGCTGTGCTGTGCTGTGCTGCTGTGCGGCGAGCTGTGCTGTGCTGAGCTGAGTTGAGCTGAACTGAGCTGTGCTCAGCTGTGCCGTGCTGAGCTGAGCTGAGCTGAGCTGTGCTGAGCAGTGCTGTGAGGAGGAGGGGAAGAGTGAGGTGTGTGAGAGAGGGACGGAGAGGGAGGTGTGAGGTGTGAGTGTCGCGGGTGCGGCGCGGCAGGGAAGAAAACCAGAACCCCACGAAGCATGTGGGGAGTTAATATTTGGGCCTCTCGGGGCGCTCTTGTGAGGCCTATTGGAGGCCACTTGGAGCGTCTTGGCGGCTTCTTGGGCCGTCTTGGGATCATCTTCGGCGTCTTGGAGCGTCCTTTGGGCGTCTCGGGGGCCTCTTGGGCAGTCTTGGGGGCCTCTTGGGGCCCTCTTGGCGCGCTCTGGGGGGCCTGAGAGGCCGTACCCAGGAGGAAAACCATCTCTGAGTAGACCTTCCCGGGCTGCGGTCGGGGTACTTTTCGCTGGGGGACCCCCAGGGGCCGCCCCGCGCGCGCGAACTAGAAATACTGTTAAGTGGTTACAGGAGATCTTAGCACGCCTCTGGCCCGTTGGGCCGGCGAATTAGCCTCTGGGGGCTCTCTTGGGGGTCCTCCTGGGGCCTTCCAGAGGCTGTTTGGAGGCCTCTGGGCTCGTGAGGAGGTCGTCCTGAGCGTCTTGGGGCGCTCTGAGGTCGTCTCGGGCCCTCTGAGGCTCTCTTGGAGCTCCCTCCAGGCGCTCCTGATGCGCTCTTGGGGGCAACCCGGGAGTTCTTCCCCATCCAGTTGCAGAATTTGCCTGGATTTTGCCAAGGTAAGTTTGCTAAGGGAACCCCCAGTGGACGCCGCGCGCGCGGACTGAAGAAACAGTTCTCCACACCTGAGATCATGGCACGCCTTGGGCCCGTTGGGTCAGCGAATTTCCCACACTTGTGGGGCGCCTCTGGGAAATTGCAGCAGCTGCAGACAGACGAATGCGTTGGGGCATTTCAGCGGGATTGAATTATTCGGGTCGTCCGGGCTTGCGTTGCCTGGAGTCAATCAAGTATGAGGCCACTGCTGGCAGCTCTTCTCATCCTGGCCAGGGCGCCGTGTCGAATGCTTCCTTAGGCTGGCATTTCGACGGACATACTCTCATCACGGTTGCAGTCATGCTGTCAAGTTCAGAGCAGGATTATGTTGGCGGTGCAGTTCAATTGAGGCGCCGCGATCCTGTGTCAGGCCAAGCGCAGAACTATTCGTTCACACCAAATCGTGGGGATGCTGTGGCCTGGCGGGGCTGGGAATATCACCGTGTGAGCCCTGTGCTGCAGGGCTTGCGCCACGTTCTCGTGGCAGAGTTCTGGACAGGCCCAGATGTGGAAGGTCCTGACAATCGCCTCGACGATTTTGAGGAAGGATACCTCGCAGCGGTCGCCCTGGACCCCACCTCAGCATACCTCCACAAGCAGCTGTCGTGGATATCCTTCGTACGCGAGGAGTGGCCCGATGCCTTGAGGTCGGTTACCGCGGCCGTCTCGGCGGATGCGTCCGACTCCGAGTCGCTTGTCCTCATGGGTCGCATCCACCAGCGGCGCGGTTTTCTCGACACAGCCCTGGAGGCCTACAACAGGGCTCTGAGCCTGAACCCAAACGATCCCCTGGCGCTCATGGCGGTCGCGGGGAATGCGCACGAGAGGGGAGACGCGGACGAGATGGAGCGATGCTACGTGAGGGCAGTCAGCGCTGGTGGCTGGGAGGCGCTGGAGCCTCTCGGCGATGTCCGTTCCGAGCAGGGCCGCCACGAGGAAGCCGCGCGGCACTACGAGGATTCGCTGTCTCACAACCCGGCTGACGAGGATGTGCAGATCAAGCTTCAGCAGCAGCTGGACATAATCGAAGCTGGCCGGACGTGGTGGGGAGGACTGAAGCAGGCGCTGATGCGCTGATCAGGGACAGGGTTGATCAGATGATCCGCGTGATCTGAATATTGGTCTTCCAGCCGTCTTCTTCGATCCTTCGTGCGCCGGGTGGCAGACGACCCAGGGAAAGGTCGAAGCAGTCTTGGTCATCTGAGTTGTACAAACATGCGAAGAGAATGTGTGATACCAGTGCGTATGACGTTCGACAGCTCGCGGAAATCCCAGCAGACGACTGGAATGCCGCCGTGCGACGCTACCGCCAATAGCATTGCATCACTGCCCATGTGCTTGTTTCACTCTCCCATTGGCCCTTCATCTTGCTGGTCGAGTAACGCAAGCCCTCAGGAGTTTGAGTTTCACCAGTTCTGCACATTTGTTGTACTATGCCCGCACGCGCGAAATGCTCAGAGACCCCCATGTTGACTGAGACGCTTTTTAGCCCGACTTGAACACAAGACTCGTCCGCATCTCCCCGTCGGCGCCATCGGCATCGTGCAAGCCATCCCCATCCCCGTTGGGCCACAGTACACCCCCACCAGCCCTCCAGGGTCCACTTCGACCAGAGCGATCCGACTCGACACCGATTCTGCCTGGCCCGATCCGGTTCGGCTCCGACATCGCGGCCGACCCGATTCGGTTTCGACCCCGTGCCGATGCAGCCCTCCTCCTCCTCCTCCTCCTCCTCCTCCTCCTCCCTCCTCCTCCTCCTCCTCCTCCTCCTCCTCCTCCTCCTCTCCTCCTCCTCCTCCTCCTCCTCCTCCCTCCTCCTCTCCTCCTCTCCTCCTCCTCCTCCTCCTCCTCGCCTCTCCTCCTCCTCCTCCTCTCCCTCCTCCTCCTCCTCCTCCTCTCCTCCTCCTCCTCCTCCTCCTCCTCCTCCTCCTCCTCCTCCTCCTCCTCCTCCTCCTCCTCCTCCTCCCCTCCTCCCCTCCTCCCTCGTCTCCTCCTCCTCCTCCTCCTTCTCCTCCTCCTCCCTCCTCCTCCTCCTCCTCCTCCTCCTCCTCCTCCTCCTCCTGCTCCTCCGACCCGATTCGGTTTCGACTCCGTGCCGATGCAGCCCGATCCGACGCACTTTCCGATTCGGTCCGACCTCCAGACTCGACGCTCTGCCGCGAAACCCAGGGGAGGCGGCACGCATCCACACCCGAGGGGGTCAGTCGGCCAGTGGGGCCAAGGCAGTGTCCCACCACCCACCAGACCACTTCAACCCAACCCGGAGGCCAAACTTTACCCTCGATCTCCAGTGGGGGGGTGGATCGGGGAGCATTGAGAAAACACAGATGGAACCCGTACGCCCCCCAGCCCAAAATTCGGTCGGGTCTTCGGGTTAGGTTGGGGTGGTCTGGTAGGTAGTCAGTGTCTGTGGGGATGAAGATCGGCTCCCCACCCCGCTCTGTCGATCAGACGCCTCGAGCCTTCGGTCCGGTCGCCGCTCCCCCTCCCCTCCCCAGGCGGAAGCTGGGGGATGGGCGGTGGAAGCCGGTGCCGAGCACCGCAGCGGCGGCCGCGGGGGAGGATGGCCGTGGCCTCCTTTCACCTCGTTCCTTTCACCCTTGACCGTTTCACCGTTGACCGCGTTGCTGCTGCGTGGCCCCCGAGGACCATCTAAGACCTCGGGGGCCGCGCAGCAGCAAAAATCACATCGTCGGTTGTTTGGGCTCGTCGCCATGAGTCGAAGATACAAGAAACCTACATGAGGCGTTCCAGGACAGGGCCTTGCCTTCCAAGATCTAAGGAGCTGCCATCTCTTCCTCGGCGGAAGGGCGGCGGAAGCTTGAGGAAGCAAAACGAGGCCGCCACCGCCGGCGGAAGTTGGTGAAAGGCTAGCGGAAATTGGCGGAAGTCAAAGATGAGCCCCAAGAGATGGAAGCATTTTGGGGTTTCGGGTTTCCAGAATCGGCCACATAAGCTCACATGTTCGAAGATCCACGCGTTTCTCTTAGGTCTGCGCTGGCACCCCCTTGCGGCGTCTCCCCCAGGCAGGGGAGGCCCAGCGAGGAACACCGAAGAATGCGCGCGGACCTCCGACAGTGTACGTCTACAGTTAACCCGCATCGTGAGGATGAGCGACTTTCCCAGGGTACCCTCCTCCTCATCCTCCTCCTCCTCCTCCTCCTCCTCCTCCTCCTCCTCCTCCTCCTCCTCCTCCTCCTCCTCCTCCTCCATCCCTCCTGCTCCTCCTCATCCTCCTCCTCCGCCTCCTCCTCCTCCTC